ATTTTTTTTAAATGGCTCTTTTTTGTTTACCTCTCCAGAGAATTCTTTTTAACCACTGTAACATGAGATCTTTTTAACGTCTCTTTTAGAAATAAATACCTAACCACTTTATTACTAATTTTAGCAAAATAGCATATTATAATTGAGAAGATTCATCCAATTTTAAAACTTACCACCCATAGGATCATCATTGATTGAATAATGACCCCATGGTAACGTTTCATCTGACCCAGTAATTAGAATTCTTTTATCATCTTCATGACTGAGTGCTACTTTTCGTTGAGTAATTGAATGTACTTGAGCTTTTCGGATCGTATTAAATTTTGAGAGACAGTTTTAGATCTAAAACTCTCTAAACATTCAACGTAATCTTCAAAGGTTATGACTGATTTTACTACAGATGACTTTACACCCTTAGCCTTCGTTGTCACGCCGTAATTTTTTATAATTTCTTCAATTTCACTCTGATCAAACTCCATTTCCTCAAGCTCCTTTATACTTTTCAAAATATTATCATTAGTTTGAATAACTTTTGTAGCATACAATTTTGATCTTAAGCCCACATAATCTGTCATTGGTGTTTTCATTTTTCATTAAACCTATCACTTTTTTATTTATAGAAGGGATTTCGTAAATGTTTGGTTGGGGATAGTCAGAAGTATCGAAGTATTGGAAACAGTCTCTCTTCATTACAATGTAAGGGTCTTGATTGTTAATTTCATATATTAGCGAATCAGTGTCAGTATAAAGAACAGAACAATCATCAAACACTGACGACATATACCCATAATGGAAGTCATAGTTGTCTTCGCCAAATCCAGAATTGCTTGACCAACGTATATAGGTTTATTTAAATATACTTGCAATTTCCTTAACTCAACAGCTACCAAGTTCTCGTTAAATATGGTGCAGTTTTTGAACTCTGGTTTTGAAATATAGGATTCTGCACCGTACCGCCCACTCCATTCGGTTAGAAGACGGATATTAACACGTTTCCGAACAGTCTCTAAACTTTTACCAAATATAGCATTGTTCATTAGTTTGAATAAGTTCATTATTTGCAGCTTTTCTTAAATTTGTATTAAGGTCAATATAAGATTTAAGCCAAGGACTTTGTTTAAATTTCAACACTCGATGAATTTTTGTCACTATTAAACCATATGCTAAAGCCTGTTTTAGTGCACGATAATGAATAACATATTTTTCCTTACGGTTTAAGGTAGCCATTAACTTTGCTAGTTCTTTGACAGTCTTCGGAGGTTTGCCAGTTTTAGGATTAATATGCTCTGGACAGAAAGGAATATCTTTATGATGATCATGAAGGTTTTGAGGGTACTCAAGATCGACTTCAAGTATACACCCCTCAGGAGAATTATCTGGGATAGACATGACATCAATGTTAGTATTTACCCATTCGAATCCTCCATATGGTAAATATTGTGACATCGCCCACCCATACTGATTGTTAACATCAAAATACATCAAATATTTAGATGGTTTTGTAGAGTCATAATTAGGGATATATTTATTGTTCGCGTGAGCTCTTCTTTTGGAGCAGACCTGACTAAGACCACCTCTGATACCTTTTTCCATAAACAAAAACATATCAGGATCCGTAAGCAGCTTCAGTTCCTGCTTGGTATACTTTAACATCGCATCCCACGTAAATCCAGGTAAAGTGTAATAATGTGCCGGATCAAGCTTATAGGTTCTTAGACAAGTAGTTCTAAATTGCTCGAAGACATCTGCCAGCAGAAGAATATCAGTCTTCATGTATAACTCAACATAGTCACCCAAGTCCCGGCAATTAAATTTGCTCCATACTTCCTGTGCACGTTGGTAAAAACGACGAGGGCAGGGCTTATCTTCCAACTTGTTGTAAAATGATTCGATTGGAGGTAAGTAGGTTTCATCAAAACGTGCGAATGAGTCGATATAATCATAAGGCATCACGCCTTTCTTTGTTAATAAATTAAAATGTTCTTGAGGCAACTCGGGGAACTGCGACCTAAAATTAGGAAATTCGTCCATGTATGAAGCTAACTTGTCCAAAGAAGAAGCCATGAACCGAAAACTATCGATAAAATGGAACTGAATAGGATACTCATTAATATGTTTTGAGAACAGTTGAGTAGTGAGGGTAAGATGAAACTCTATCAGAATTTTTATGAATAGGATATAAAGCAGATGTAACAGCCCAAGCGAAGCATGCATTATCATCGTTCTTAACATTAATACATGCTTCTTTTCGTTTAATTTGAGGAGGTAGCTCGATGTACGATGACCCAAGTTGAGGAATGTATTTATTTATGTTTACACCTAAATTAATAACTCGTTTTAAGGCCCATCCACTGTCACGTTCTTGAAACTCTTCAAGTTCATTTAGAATAGGTTTAATAACCTTTTCATCAAACCAATTATCAAGATTGGAGTCTCTATAGATTGGAGAATTTGAGGTAGTAAAGTACTTGTACTCATTAAGTACACTGTCTCCCTTTACAATCTGAAACTCACCACCAAATACGGCATTAACCTTAACAGCAGCATCTCTTTTTAAAGCATTCTGAATACGTATCTTAAAAAGCGCCTTAGCATCAATTAGGAAAGCTTTGGGATCCTTCCCAGCTAGCACATAACGTTGCCAAGCCTTTCGGCGATGTTGCATTAAGGGAACGTAATAACATTACTGTACAACGTAAATGCAACGTTCATGAGAAGTTGTTGAGGGAAATCAAAACCTCGCAAAACTTCTATTTGTTATTTACCTAGTTAACCTACCGTAAACATTACAAATCTGAATTCAGAACGTTTAGTTTTATGTCAATTGTCACTTGTCAGTTTTTCTTGTCAATTGCCTTTTTTAATGGTTTATTTTTCGACATCCAGAATTTATTTTATAAATAATTATTATTATTTATACATTCGAATAGATTTGGTAAGGGTCCTCTATAAAATAGATAAATATTTTCTAAACCATTGTCTTTGTTTCAGATTACAATGCCTGATGTAAATTTAGTATTTCATTCATTAAGTATCTTTAGCAGTCGATGCCGATGACACCAAATAAAAAAAAACTACAATAAATACAAAGAATTGCAGATCAATCGTTGTAAACCAGAAGATAAACATTTAACCGAATGTCCGGCAAAATTTTACACCAAATACTTATAAAAGGTAATTATACTTTATCGAACTAAAAATACATTTTAAAAATATTATTTTTTAGGTTTCCTTCGACATTCTAGGAATTTTAGAAGCAAAAGTAAATACTACAGAAGTGTAAAGAAGAATATAACACCTGAAGTTTTATAAAAAGTGAATCTATAGGTACATGATATGTCAGGTATATCATTATTTTGTTTTTGACATACTCTTTATATTTTATTTAAAAGCTTCGATATTTTGCTGTTAAATAAAATGATTACGATTATAAAAGTGAGTTGTTGCATAGTTGTAAAAAATTTGGGCGTTTTTGAAGAAAATAACTCGAATTGAGGCAGTTTTAGACACAGTTTGTGGCTACATTTTAAATGATTTATCTTTAAGGATATTTTTGTTTGTGGTGGTATTTAAAGTAAAACCGTAATGATATTTTGCATCCATTGAACCAAAAATGTAATTGCTTTGTTTTTTGACTTGTGGCGTTTTTTGATTGAGCCATCGATATATCTACTTTGGAAATCAAGCATAAAATTTGTAAAATTCAAACAAATTTCAATACACTAACATTGGTTGTTTTATTTAAAACAACAAAGTAAGGCATATTTTTTAATTTCTATATAATTTCCTTTAATTAATAATAGGTAAACAAGTTATCAATTTCTTTTTTATTCAATGTATTGAGAAGTAAAATCTTTTTATATAAAAATATAATTTATTCTCTTCCAATAAATTGTCATATTTAGGTTACATTATAGCACTTTATAAATATCTATGCAAAAAAGTTAAAAGGCTTGATTTAAAAAAGATATATCTCTGCGTCTTAGGTAAGAAATCAGCGAACTTAGCTATCCTCTAGTAATCTAATATAATAATATGTACCTAGTCATTGTTGTATTCGTTTATTATTTTTCACCAATCTAGCTTTATCATCGTTCACCATTTAAGGGTTTAGTGAACCTTTGCAATATTGGTACCTTATTATACTATTTAGCTAATTTTGTCCAATCGTTCAGTGCTTTCTAGGTAGCTTCTTCTATCCCACATGTGTACTTGTGTTTGTGATATAAGGTGTGTTCTTTTATTCAATAATTGTTCTATCAGTGATTGATGTAATTTATCTATTCTGCAGTCGTTTTATATTTGAACTCTTATATTTTAGGTTAACTTAAATGATTGATTATCCTCACCATTCGTCTATCACATTAATTTACGAACGGTTTGCTGCAAGCGCTGGATACAGCACTGAATAAAAGAACACGCCTACACCTACCTCTACTTTTGTGCTATTGGTACTTGATTTCAAGAACATTTTAATAATAAATTTATATAAATATTTTGTTTTATTTGAAATTTTCATATCTCGATTGAGATTTTACTATAGCCTCAATTTCAGCCTCTCTGTATTACATTACACAATGTGTGTCCATGGATGGACTTAATTATACTTGTAAAAATATTTATTTTAAATTAAAGAAAAAGTTATTTTTCATAATTTCTCAATGTGAATCGAATTTATTTAACAAGCAAGAAATTATGAAGAATTACTTTTTTAATTTAAAATAAATATTTTCACAAGTATAGTTAAGCCTATCCGTGGACACACTGTATAATGCTGTAGATCTAATTCACATTATAACATCAATAGAACGTTTCAGAGCAACTTTCGGGGTAAGTACCGTAAAAGTGCTAGTGTGATGTTTTCCGAACTTCACTTTATAACTTCTACGAGATGTGCTATAAAAGTCTTGCAGTTGCGGACATTCGGTAGTTGCAGGGATAATAGGGTTACATTTACAGTACATTGCATGCGAGCTTAAAGAGCCTAAAATTGCAGCTTATTAACGTAGATGGGATGTTTTTGTGCTAGCTGGGTTATGTTTTAAATTGGAGATTACTCCCGTCAGGATGCGACTGTTAAATGCTGTATCAGAATCATCCCAACGGACACGTTCTCTAGCTCCCTCAGGTCGTGATGTAAGCCCTGCCCCTTTCTTCAGTGTCGGTTTTATCTGTTTACGATAAGTTTTAATGTTTCTGAGGCAAGCTTCCAAATGCTGTTTTTCACCCAGCGTTTTGGCATTTTTCAATGCATAATTTATTTGTTTTATCCCTTTCTGACACTCTCGTAGTCCTTTTTGAGCTACAGCCTCATCATACCTCGTAGATAGCAGACCGAGGAAAATACCGATGTAGCGAACCAAATCTACAAAAACTGACATAATAATACACGTCTACACGACACAATAATCAGAAACAGAATAAGAAAAGAGTTCAACAAAAGTGTCTTTATACTTCTTTTAGTACGCATGCGCATTCACTTTTTTACTGGATTTTATTGAATGATAGTAGCAAGAACCTTTATTTATTAAAGTTACGTATATGTCTGTGGATTGTAAGGAAAATCTGAAACAAAATAAATTTGTTTTTAATTTTTTTTGAAAATATAAATAATTTTAAGAAAATACCCAAATTTTAATTCTATCGACATCCTCAAAACTTATCAACTTTTTTGGTATTTTTTCCAATAAAATAATAACTTATACCCCCACCTCAAGATATACCACCATATTTATGAATATTTTTATAAACTAGATTGTCAAATAGGGATCTAAAGTAGAAAAAGGTAAAATATTTCTAATTCAACTCGAAAATACACAAATTTTAATTCTATCGACATCCACAAAACTTAACTTTTTTGTTATTTTATTCGACTAAATAATGACTTATACCCCCACCTCAAGATATACTACCATATTTATGAATATTTTTAAAAACTAGAGGGCCAAATATGGATCTAAAGTAGAAAAAGGTGAAATATTTCTAATTCAACTCGAAAATACACAAATTTTAATTCTATCGACATCCACAAAACGTAACAACATTTTTGTTATTTTATTCGACTAAATAATAACTTATACCCCCACCTCAAGATATACCACAATATTTATGAATATTTTTAAAAACTAGAGTGTCAAATAAGAATCTAAACTAAAAAAAGGTAAAATCTTTCTTATTTAACTCGAAAATACCCAAATTTTAAATCAATCGACATCCTCAAAACTTATCAACTTTTTTGGTATTTTTTCCAATAAAATAATAATTTATACCCCCACCTCAATATATGCCACAATATTTTTTAAAACTAAAGTTGTCAAATTCAGCTATTTAGAAGTAAAGACAGGTTTTAAAACTTACACAGTTTTCTAAATTCAAAGCGAACTAAACACAAACATATCTGAAGAGTACCAACAGTGTTGTGATATATACCTTAGTAATAGTTGAGAGTATGTAGAAATTAAACGTGCATATTTGGTAACGCCATCTGCACTTAGAAAGTAAAAACTTAAGTAGTATGGAAATGACAGAGCAAAATGTGCAAACCCTATGACAGAGCAAAATGTGCAAACCCTATGACAGAGCAAAATGTGCAAACCCTATGACAGAGCAAAATGTGCAAACCCTATAACAGAACAAAATGAGGAAACCATCTGGTAAACACCTGGTCAAAAAATGTTTTAACAAATGTTGACCATCTGGCACGTAATTTAATATCTCTGGGAATAATAACGACTTCATTTTCTCACGAAATATTAAATTACATGCCGGATGATCAACATGTGTTAAAACATTTTTTGACCAGGTTGTTCACAAGATGGTTTCCTCCGTTTGCGTGCCCTCTCATTTCCATACTACTTAAGTTTTTACTTCCTAAGTGCAGATGGCGTTACCAAATATGCACGTTCAATTTCTACGTACTCTCAACTACTACTAAGGTATATATCACAACACTGGTGGTACTCTTCAGATATGTTTGTGTTTAGTTCGCTTTGAATTTAGAAAACTGTGTAAGTTTTAAAACCTGTCTTTACTTCTAAATAGCTGAATTTGACAACTTTAGTTTTAAAAAATATTGTGGCATATCTTGAGGTGGGGGTATAAATTATTATTTTATTGGAAAAAATACCAAAAAAGTTGATAAGTTTTGAGGATGTCGATAGATTTAAAATTTGGGTATTTTCGAGTTAAATAAGAAAGATTTTACCTTTTTTTAGTTTAGATTCTTATTTGACACTCTAGTTTTTAAAAATATTCATAAATATTGTGGTATATCTTGAGGTGGGGGTATAAGTTATTATTTAGTCGAATAAAATATAAAAAAGTTGATAAGTTTTGAGGATGTAGATAGATTTAAAATTTGGGTATATTCTAGTTGAATAAGAAATATTTTACCTTTTTCTACTTTAGATCCATATTTGACCCTCTGGTTTTTAAAAATATTCATAAATATGGTGGTATATCTTGAGGTGGGGGTATAAGTTATTATTTAGTCGAATAAAATAACAAAAAAGTTGTTACGTTTTGTGGATGTCGATAGAATTAAAATTTGTGTATTTTCGAGTTGAATTAGAAATATTTTACCTTTTTCTACTTTAGATCCATATTTGACCCTCTAGTTTTTAAAAATATTCATAAATATGGTAGTATATCTTGAGGTGGGGGTATAAGTCATTATTTAGTCGAATAAAATAACAAAAAAGTTAAGTTTTGTGGATGTCGATAGAATTAAAATTTGTGTATTTTCGAGTTGAATTAGAAATATTTTACCTTTTTCTACTTTAGATCCCTATTTGACAATCTAGTTTATAAAAATATTCATAAATATGGTGGTATATCTTGAGGTGGGGGTATAAGTTATTATTTTATTGGAAAAAATACCAAAAAAGTTGATAAGTTTTGAGGATGTCGATAGAATTAAAATTTGGGTATTTTCTTAAAATTATTTATATTTTCAAAAAAAATTAAAAACAAATTTATTTTGTTTCAGATTTTCCTTACAATCCACAGACATATACGTAACTTTAATAAATAAAGGTTCTTGCTACTATCATTCAATAAAATCCAGTAAAAAAGTGAATGCGCATGCATACTAAAAGAAGTATAAAGACACTTTTGTTGAACTCTTTTCTTATTCTGTTTCTGATTATTGTGTCGTGTAGACGTGTATTATTATGTCAGTTTTTGTAGATTTGGTTCGCTACATCGGTATTTTCCTCGGTCTGCTATCTACGAGGTATGATGAGGCTGTAGCTCAAAAAGGACTACGAGAGTGTCAGAAAGGGATAAAACAAATAAATTATGCATTGAAAAATGCCAAAACGCTGGGTGAAAAACAGCATTTGAAAGCTTGCCTCAGAAACATTAAAACTTATCGTAACCAGATAAAAACGACACTGAAGAAAGGGGCAGGGCTTACATCACGACCTGAGGGAGCTAGAGAACGTGTCCGTTGGTATGATTCTGATACAGCAACAGTCGCATCCTGACGGGAGTAATCTCCAATTTAAAACATAAGGATCCCAAAGCTTTCCTAATTGATGCTAAGGCGCTTTTTAAGATACGTATTCAGAATGCTTTAAAAAGAGATGCTGCTGTTAAGGTTAATGCCGTATTTGGTGGTGAGTTTCAGATTGTGAAGGGAGACAGTGTACTTAATGAGTACAAGTACTTTACTACCTCAAATTCTCCAATCTATAGAGACACCAATCTTGATAATTGGTTTGATGAAAAGGTTATTAAACCTATTCTAAATGAACTTAAAGAGTTTCAAGAACGTGACAGTGGATGGGCCTTAAAACGATTTATTAATTTAGGTGTAAACATAAATAAATACATTCCTCAACTTGGGTCATCGTACATCGAGCTACCTCCTCAAATTAAATGAAAAGAAGCATGTATTAATGTTAAGAACGATGATAATGCATGCTTCGCTTGGGCTGTTACATCTGCTTTATATCCTATTCCGATGAGGTTTACAAAAAGAGCCATTAAATAAGATTCTATATATCAAAAGAGTCATATAAAAATATATCAATCTAGATAGATAAAAGATATGATTACTTAACTACTTTATTGGAAGTGGATTAGGCCTCCAGGGGATACCACTCTAAAATAAAACTCGCCATAGTTCTATCTCCTTATATTGGTAAACATTAGTCTAATGTTAATCAATATATAAGATGGTGGGGAAATGAACTGCATAATTTCTTTTCAGGTAACATTTAAATTTAAAGAATAATAGGCATCTAGAGTATTTCGTTCAGGAAGGTGGTTTACAATCCAATTGAATCTATATATATTTGAATTATCCTGGCTTCTTCTTATACACCCATTCGTTGCGACACCCGCCGCGAATAGCACAGCGCGTGACCTTGATTTAGACAAAAAACTCCCAAATGAACCTTAGCGATTTCTTATGGGAATTAACATGGGGAATGAGGCCGAATCAGTGCTGTACAATTACTCAAATGTATAAGGTCCGAGTCGAGTAAGTTCACATCTTGTAAACTGGATCGAAACCTGCTAGACCCATTCCGTCCACCCCCCTGCTAACTCCTCTTAGGGTCATCAAGACCAATAGATTTATATGCCATGCCTTCTAAAAGGGAATGAAGGATGACATACTATCATCATTAGGTATACCTATTTTCCATACTCCCTTAATTATTACCTTACGATGTTTGAATGAATATAACATTTTACCCATGAAAAATTCATTTGAAACAATTGGTATATTACAATTTATTATCAAGGAAATCTTCTAATAAAGTTATAGCAAATCCTACTTAAACTACTGGTTGTTCTGCAGGATAAATTAACTTCTCTTTAGATTGATCTCTCTCTAAAATCCAAAACCGACCTGATGTCCCCAAATTTATTTTCCTGTGCATCCTGATTTAAAATTCTGCCCTTTTGTGATTCAATTTTTTTACTTCGTATAGTGGCTATTAGAGGTAGAGGTGTATGTAAGAAATAGCCAATCTCTAATCATTTCAAAAGTCCTTTGCCAATACTACATTTTACTTCTTATCTATTAGGTGGGAACTTTGTGCTGTCATTAAAGCTGTCGAGACATTCATCTACCTACTTAATGAACAAAAGTAGCTGTAACAATGGATCTCTGTTCCAATTCACCTAAAATAATTATAGCCATTTTGTAATATATTATTAAACACACACATTATACAGTGGTTTTCTTAATAAATTGGAAATTACTTACCTATAGAAAGAAACGGGTACAAAAATGCGAGTTTGGTTCCAGAAATTGCTTCTTGCAAAAAATAATATGCGAAAATAAACATTCCCCCCCCCCCCCCCCCAAAGAAAATTAATTAAACAACAATATCAGACTCAAAGAAATAAACGGGGCCCAAATTAAATT